CCTGCTGGATGAACAATAAGCGTATCATCCTTTATTGGGTCTGATGTGTACTATTATCAGTATAAGCTCAAAGAGCAGCTGATGCCATTCTTTCTAAAACATTAGTTTGTTGAAACTTTACTCTCCCTTCTGTGCATACACTTTGTTACTATCAAAATCAGACAATAGCCAAGCAATGTAAAACTCCTCCAAAAGAGGTAGAAATCCAAAGGTTTCCAAGGTGTGGAAATCCAAAGGAAGTTATAGGAAGCAACTCAGACTATTGATTAGTTCATACATTTCCCCTGTCAATAATTGTGGCTTAGTAGAAGTGAAAGTCACCTGAACTCTTCAGCTATGACATCTTATTTCATCATGATGGCATTTGAGGGTGTTATAGACAGTTGCAGTTCATTCTATCTAGTCTGACATAATAAATAGGGATCAGGAAGCTAGTATCCCCAGGTTAACTGATTTGACAGAAATGTTTCTACTTACTTCTCCTAAAGCACACCCTGTCAGATTGCATCAGTTTTCATAAATAATATATATATATGTATTTGGAGGGAAAGAAGCCAGGAAGAACTTTTATGTACACTTTATTTTTCTGAGTTAGTGGATATATCTCCTGGGATTCCTTTCTTTGAAGCATTTCCTTGATTCTTTCTTGCCACTTCTTTCCTTCACTTCTGTGTTGTAAAAGTTAATGGGGGCAGAGATTTGCATGGTCCCATGGTTAAACAGGAGAAGCACAGCACCTGAGCCCAAAAAGATCCTCAAAAGCCCTGACTGCACACCTGCATGTAATGGCTGAGCTATGTGGCAAATTGAGAATAGCTCCTAAAGGGAACCCCATCACTGTTTAAAAAAAACATGCATTGCTTCAATCCTTTGGATGATCTTAGTGGGAGCAGAAGACAGTTGTGTAGGTGCCCATCTATCAAGTAATCTAAAAGCTAACATATTTTAAAATGTTGACTATGATTAACAGCTCTTATCTACAAAAACAGTAGACTCAAAAGGATTAAACTAAAGTTGTTGAACAGTATGGAAAGTCTGTTGCTATTGCTATTTTATTTGCACTATGGAAATGATTGGTTTTCAAATTCATTGCATGTGTTTGAGCTGTCAGCTTTTTTTTTTTTTTAACATGACATTGTTTGATATATTTCTTTTATGCTTTTCAGAACTATGTGTGCATTTAGAAGACTCTATGACCATCAACAGTAATAAAATGACTGTAAAGGATACAAATCCTATTACTCTTCTCTTTTGGAAGAACTCCAGTCTTTGTGTCCCTCTGTTATTACTGTATGTCCCTTCTACTTACTGTTCTTTAAATTCCCACTGAAGATTTTAAAAAAAGGCAATAGAAAAGCATTTGGTGGTACAAATGCAGCCTCACTCTTTCTTTCATTTTGTAACAGTAAGTTGTTCTCTCAGATGTTCTCTGAGTATCTTGGCTGCGCATCCTACATCTGCTCAGGATGTGACTATTTATTGGTAGCCATTAGCTACATTTATGCCACCTAGCATTTCTTATACAGAAGTAGTGGACTAGGCAAAAATGTCAAAGACTAAAGCTGTCAGAGGATAGGCCATATCAGCTGAACAGCCTCAGTTAGATTTTAATATTATCGAGCTAGCTATCTGAGGCATAGTTTCCATGAATAGACGCATCAAAAAAACCAGTTCAACCAAACCTATGCCTCACTTCAAATTATTTCAGCTTCCAAATATCATACTCTTTATTTCCTTTTTCACTTGTGTACATAAAAATATACTTCTAAGACAGACATTAACTATACTTACTCCATAGTTGCAAGCCCACATCAAATAATAAAGTCTAGGTTTTCAGTTGTAGTCAGCACAATCTGAGGGGCCTGATATGCTACACATAGTATTGCCTTACGTATCTTAGAGGAGACAAAAAGACTCTGATACTTAGAAAATAGAGCCATTTATATATAATTGGCAAAAATTAGATGAGTTTTTCCATTTTCTTTAATGGGTAGGTTGAAGTTAGCCCTCCATTGTCTTGGTGTAATCTAAATTATTCCACATACTTGTTACATGTGTCATTTAGAGTAAGGTTTTCACATCAGAAATTTTGTGTCACACAGTTAAGTATTTACATAGACCTCAGGGTTCTTTGGTGTTCAGAATCACCTTTGAAGATGAATTTTTGCAAGAGAAACAACAGACATGGCTACCTTTAGTATATCAAGATATTTTCAATTGCTAAAAATATAGGAAACCACATCAGTCCTAGTTCTAGAGTGAATTTATTACTCCTAGCCCGTTCTAGAGTGAATTTATTACACTGTGCATGTTTTCACTTCATGTGGTCATTTCCAGACACCAAACTGTCAGTACTCAGATCTTTAGTCACTCACTTGCTTATCTATCTACACACAGTTACTATACCCAGTATTCACCAGACTGTATATCAGCTAAACCAGGACGAGGAACTTTTCTTGCTGTCCTACAGTCAGACCAAAATTGACATTTTAGCAAAAAAAAATCAAGGAAAAAATGGTGCCATATCAAAATGTTCTGCCTTTTTTTAATTTATATTTTTCCCACTCTATTTTAACTTTTGAAACAAAAGGTTATTCTGAGCTGAAAAACAGATCCTCTCTCCACTAGAATATTCTATTTGTAAATATTCTAGTCATTTCAGAAACTAATCCTCTATGATGAAGAGTTCAGTTTTCATAAATTGGCCTTTCCACCAAAAAAGACAGAAACTATCTAGTCAGGTTTGAGCTCTGTTTTCCTTTTGGTACAAAGGAGAACTGACAATTGATAAAATGTCTGAGGTACATTTGTCCATAGTATCTGTTGTCCTTCCAGCTGTCAGTCTGTGTATCTTGCTCTTCTGTGCAGACAAATAAAAAAATAACTGCAAAAAGAGGGACTGAAGGTATGCTTGCTGCTGTGCAGTTTGTTTTAATTATTTCATCCTAGTGGAACTATGTGGGAAAATAGGGCTATCAGCATTTAGCACTGAGCATTTTAGTGGCTAAGATGTGTTATTTTAACATTTGCAAGACAAAGCAGTAATATGAACTATGAAAATATGATAATTACATCTGTTTGTGAGCACATAGGTAACAACTTTATAAAATATCCTTAAATCTCCTTTAAAATTATAACTGAGACCTGTGATTAATAACATATCTATTTTAAAGCCAATTGGAGAGATTTCTTTACTGAAAGACTACCACTACTTTTAAGTACATTTTGACAACTTCCCTGTTTAAAAAAAATTAACACTCTGTCTCAGAAGCTTAGATGCATCCTGCCCAGCTTTAGACTCCATGTAGGCATCTTTTTTCTACTGGAAGATACCTATTTCTCCCCCACTGGCATCTAGAAGATGTAGAGGGAATAGATTGCTAAGCTAGATATCTCCACTAGAAGGGATGAACCAGGGCCAGATGTAGCTTTTAGTGATGTCTGAGTACTTTCCTTCTATCTTTGATTTTACCTAGAAGCACATAAATCTCTATGTGTGAATAACAGTTTGGGGCTCAAGCAGATGAGGGGGTTAGGACTAGAAAAAGATTTGTGGGTGTTCCTTGTGAAAGGTTATTTATACAGACAAAAAAAAAAGAGGAAATGAGAGCCAGTGTCTGATTTCACTTCTCCAAAATAAGAGGCATAAATTCACTTTCCACTTTATGGAATCTGTGTGTTTAAATTTATTGGAATTGTTTGTAAGTACAATATTGCTGATTTCCGCTACTCATATGACTATTATTATTGCATATACAGTAAACATACAGGAGAAGATATTCCATTTTCTATACACATCTTACTGCTCAAGCAAAACCATAAAACATAGCTGAGTGAGCACAGACTATAAAATCAGAATGTAAAATAAGGCAAGCGTGATAAAAGCATTAGGCTGAGTAATCTTTCACTAGAAAAATACCTTTTGCTGTCAAGTTTCCTCTGAAACTCTAACAAACATATTGCAAAAGAGAAAGATGAACTTTAAAATATGGCAAACAAATTCCTTCCTTCAAGGCACTGTTGCATAACTTTTAGTGTCAGTTTGAGAATAACTCAGAAAGTCAGTTGATAGAAATTTCATCTGAGTTATTTTTCCCTTCAACCTTTTGTTTGCAAAAAGATTGTCCTCTTTTTCCTGTATTAGGGTAACATTTCTATGTGGAAGAAAAAAAAAAAAAAATCAAGGCTAGAACAAAGTACAACTTTGAAGTCTTATAAAAATTCAGCTACAAAAGTGAGTGCAATTAGCAACAGTAAATTTAAAGAAATTAAAGACAGTTTTAGTAAAAAAGTGATAAAACTTGGAACTTGGATTATCTTTTCATGAAGAATAGTTTATTGTATTTTTTATATTGATATTATGGCATAAGAAAATAGTAAATCTGTAAAACTAATTAAAACTAGTGGAGAAAAGTTTCCAAGAATATAACTTTCTATTCTCTTACGAAATGTATTACTTAGCTTTATGTGTTTTCACCTATGATAGTGCTTAACAATGGGAGCTTGTTTTCAGCCATTGTACAGAAATTCCTACATGAGGAATACAAACAGCAGAATGAACAAAGCTTGATTTCTTACTGATTTGCAGTCCATCTTGCTTATACACCCTTAAGATCAAATTCTCTCAGCTCCTGCTGTCCCTTAGGGCAGAGGAACCTGAGGAAGACCTGCTGCTATTCCAACAAACCTTCTGAGCTGTTTTTCCCCCCCTCAGTCCTTGGCCATTCTTATTTTATTCCCGCCAGGAGCTCCCAACAGGAATTATAGCATGCTATGGCTAGTCACAGTCAGCCTGTATATGCTGGGCACTATAGTAGGTCCAACCAGAATGGGTTAGAAAACACCCAGTTGAAACATTTGTCCTACACTGAAGACTCCAGTTGGAGTTTCTCTCTAATTTTGTGTATCTGTCAATAAGGTTGGAATGCTTTCAGGGAAAATTTAAAGGTAGAATATAAGTCTCCTTCTTAAGAATTGTTTCGGCCCTCATTTGGTATTCTTTTGGCTTGAAGCAGATAAAGTCATTGCCTTGAATTTTTGTAAATTGTCCCATTTTTGTTCTTTTAGATTAAAAGCTACCTATGCCATACAAAAACATACACAAAGCAACTGCAATAGGAATATTTTGAACATACACAAAATATAATTTCTAGTAAAATATGAATTTATACATCTCTAGAGCTTTCTGTTTGGTATCTGGACTAAAAAATGGGGGGTTTTCACCTTTGGAGTTATGCCAATTATTTAATATTTATTATTTAATATTTATCATTCCCCCTGTAGGGGAGCCCAGGAAGGTTTGAGCCTAGGCAAACAGGATATGAAGGCTGAAACTACTTGCCAACCCAAATGTAAACAGCTAGTCCCTTGAAGACATGGCAAGCAGAACTTGCTGGAGGCAGGTCACGATCAAACTATAGTTTCAGCAGCCAATTTGAAGAAATTGTCTGCAATACAGTCATGATAGGAGGAACAAACATCATAGATCTAATACACATGCTTAGTCCATTTCCTGCCTGCCTTTAGTGCAGCCTTTATTTGATACAGCAAAATATTCTATTCATGTAACTCACCAGTCGTGGCCAAGACTTCATCTCGCAGTTTCAAGATCAGGTGGGAACACTCATTGAAGGTAGCAATAAGTTGTTTCCCTTTCTGATAAAAGGGTTTTTTTTTTTTGCTTTGTTTTTCCAGATAGCATGTCTTTCATATTATACCTATGCCTCTTCCTTTTTCTTTATTTAGCATCTAATTCATAGATCTGTAAGTAAACTTATGTTTTTTATTACTAGGTTTCCAACAAAAATACATTTTCCACAAAAGTGATAATATTGGAATTTGTTTCAAACAGTCAATATACAGAAATATTTTTTGTAAACTGCACAAAGATTTACTCGCTATAACAAAAATACTGCCATATCAATAATATACATTCATATAAAAACTGTAAATTCATTTTTGTTTGTATAGTGCATAGAAACTCCAAGGCCAAATACAATAAACAGTATATTTAAGGGAAATCTTTATCAATGTTCAGCCCTTAAAGTCAATCATTTTAGGCTGCCCATTGCTTTTTATTTAGACTTCATTTTCTAGCTTTAATTCGTACAATTTTAAAGTGTTAATTCAAAACAAAAAATGCACAGATCAGACTGATTTTCCCCCACCAAAACATCCAATGATAGCCCTCCTGATATTTTCAAACCATAAAAGCTGAAAATTAAGTTTAATTCCATTCCTTCCCCTCCCCCCCCACCATTTTTATCTTTTGTGTATACTTTGTGTCTTGAGAAAGAAACAGCCACCTGAGGCTGTGCAATTCAGGAGATGGTTTTTCTTTTCTCTTGACTCAAGAGTTTGCAAACGCTGCCTGGTTTTTCTTACACTGTTGCTGAGAGAAGGAATGCTTTTGAGCAGTATACTTTTCCCTTTCTTAAAAAGGCTACTAGTGTAATCAATTGGTTTACCATTAGCTGTACATTTTTTATTTGCTGAATATGTAACACAATGAATTGGTACATTTCAAAGTGCAGCGACTAGCTCTTCTATGGCAATATGGTAAGTCATAATAGCAGTATTACAACTGTATATGACAGAGCTCTCCTGCTTTATCCTATTACCCTAAAAATTTTCGCTGCTTAAGACCTTCTCTGTGTTTGGAGTGGGAATTTGTTAAACAACAGTAGAGTATGCTACAGAAAGTAGGAATGCCAATTAGACCAAAGACTGTTTGGTTGTGTATTAAGCCAGAAGTTACAGTCATATGAACCATATAACTATTCTTCCAAAAGTTCTATCTTCTGCACAAATTACAATCCTAAAACTGCTCATCTGTGGCACTCTCAGATCCTGAGGTAATTTGTGTAAGAGTTGGGAATTAACTCAGTTATATTACTATATGATACTGTGTCCTTTCTGCTTGTTTTCTCCCAGCTATTCTGAAATATGGCTATAGAACTTTACCTGCACAGAAATGCTTAGGCTATCTAGAATTACAGCATGGTAGCAGAGCCATATGGCAGGGCATCATAAGGAAATTTTTATCTTAAATATTCAGAATATACCTATATTTTTCCTGATTTAAATGAATCTGAGCAAAAATTCAAATGAAGACATTTTATTTTAGTGGCCACAGCAAATTGCAAAACTATTAATCTTTCATTTAAATCATGATAAAGATTTCCCTTTCACCATTTCTTTGGTAAAAATGGCTGTGTGACACATTTGCCTAATCTGCTAGTAAAAGATATTCTCTTCGGTGGAAATTTTTTGATCTTACAAGTCCAGCTTTATAAGAAGTCTTCAATATTCACTTTTAGATAATGGGCCCACTCTGCCCATTCAGTGAATGCAAAATTAGTCCCAATTTAGGGCACAAAAAATCAAACAGATCAGCTGTAAAATAACTAGAAGTGTGGTTGCATAATGATTGCCTTTTAGTAGTAAAAGGACAAACACTGATATTATAGAAAGCAAAGGTCTAAATGCAGTATATCAGAATACAATGTTGTCTGTATAAAATGATTAGTTTCACAGCTATTTTTAAAGCATCTTATTTCTCACAAGTAAGTATAGAGAAGTTTATGTAGATGCATAGTGGATGTTTAAAATGCATAGTTGCATACATCTTCTATAGCTTTGTAATGGTTACAGTGTTCCAATTCTGTTGGCTTAAATCTCCTGAATTAAAGAAGAACAAACATGTTATTTATTACATGAATTCTATTATTTCTCTGCTTTATCTTTTCCCTTGTTTGTTTGAAAACAAACTTTATTGCATTTGCACATTTATACTTAACAACATTTGAGTAGTCCAGTTTGTGAGGGGTTTAGATACCTACTGAAACCTGATTTGCAAGTCAGTGAATCCTTAGTAATTCAGTAAGAATCATGTGCCAAAATGACTTCATAAAAATAGGAACTTGAATCCAAAATGGGATAAGCCCTTTATAGCCTATCACAGCAACCAACTAAAAGCCACAGTAACATGTGAAAGACATAAGAGAAAACATACTCTTTAAAAAAAAGTATGATTCTTGACTGTTTTCTGATTTGTTACTCTCTTCCTATGAGCTTTACCTGACACTACTGTCTTCCCAGTCTAAAACACAAAAGGTACAGAAACAATCTTCAAGTGCATGGCTTGTGAGAAGGAAGAAGCACAATACCCGTAGTGACATGAATGCAGTCGCATCTGTCACCTTCACATGCTACATTGGGGTGCCAGATGCAGGGAGGAAATGACAAGGGGAAGTGGCTAGAGTGCAGGATTGGTCCTCAACTGACAGACCATCCTCTGACAAGCATTTACAGCTGGCAGAAGTTGAAGGAGGCTGTAATTAGACTGCAAAGAGGGTAGAGAATCAGGGAAGTATACTCTATAGCTTTTACAGCGTTATATATCTTCTGCTTTCTTCTGCCACTGATCCATTTGTCACCACCTGTTAAGCTCTGTCTTCTTTTCTGGAGTCCTTTAACTCCTTGTTTTACATCTCTAGGAATGCCATTTTCCCCACTTTTGGGTTCTCCTCTTGCTATTGCGCTTGCATCGTTCCTCCCTAACCTTCAAAATTACAGCTCAAGATAGCAGGACTTCAGATACATCAGCAATCCTTACGCATCTCAGCATCTACATTGGCATTCACAGAAATGTTTCATGATTAGGAACCAATTGATTAATTAGGTTAATAAGGGCTCTATTTTAAGAGCTGAATGGGTATACCGCATTTTTCAGCTGCAGTGGTGATAATGATGATAGCATTCAATTAAAAGGTTACTGCATTTACTGTCTTACTGCCATTAAGTCATGAATGACTATGTACTGTTTTATATAAACAACGGTTCTACTACTATGTCGTTCCCACATAAAAGCAGCAGATTTGGATGGCATAGTGAATTTATTTTATTGTCCTTTTGTTAGGCTACTTAAGGGAAAACAAAACTTCAGTCTGTTTTATTTTTTACTTACCTTCCTTTAGGAAGGGATTTACACTTTCCTGTGCCTAGTGCTACTGCTTTCCACTCCATTGCTTTCTTCTGATTTACTGTAAGAAAGATTAAATTCCCAAACACCTTTCAAAAAAATGCAGGATCAGCACAGTCATTGCAGTCCCACAATCAAATCAGAGCACATCTAGAATGTATTTGAATTTTTCTCTTTTGATATGTAAAGGTAAGAGAAAAGAGAAAAGAGAAGTAAATGAAATATACTGACTTAAAAATAAATCTTTTAACCCAGTAAAAAAGGCTCAATGCTAAAAGGTGTTTGAAAAGTTCTGGAAAAAGTTATAAGAACAGTGATAATATTCCCATTAGTATATTGCTGCAGTATAATTTCATTCAGTGTTTACAATTAGTTTATAAAGTATATGCCCAGATGAATAATATACAACAAACAATATACAGCTTAGTGTCCACAGAACACGGGCTGAAACTGTCATCTCCGATCACTACTTCTTTTTGAAGTACTGACAACTCACTAACCTGGTATCAATCAGGACTTGAGCTAGATCTGTGTTAACAGTTCTCTTGCTGCCACAACATACTTCCAGGTCACTGTCCTCCTATCTACTGCATTGTTGGATGTGACATTTGGATGTGACATTTTAATTGTACCTCAACCACCACACTCAACTGCATTACAAGGCATCACTTGACATAATGGACCAGAAGCGTTCCTTTGGAGCTACTCCCTCTGGTACACCAATCTGTTCTAAGTAGCCAGCAGTTGGTATAACTTTCAGTTATTGAAGTCGGGCTAAAAGTACATAGTTTAATAGATAGATACCTATGAGAAAGATTTAACAAGGCTGAACTCCATGAAGATCAAGCAACTGATCAAAGCCATGGCATTACAAACATCCCACATCTCATAAGAGATGAAAACGTATCATTGCTTTAGTGCACTATACTGTGTTACAATTCTAATATAATACAGTTTCAATATGTTTATAAGCAACAGGACTATGTGACAAGAGCAGGTACTGAATTCTCAACCTAAGATATATCCCCAAACATTTTAGAGTATAATAGCATACTATATTACCAAGACATATCCCTACTTTATGCTATAATTGAATTACAACTTTAAAACTGTTTAGAGTAGAAAAAAGAAAGAAAAGCTAAGATACATTTTCAGCTAGCATTGGCAAAAAGAATGGGAAAGTGAATACAGCACAGGGAAACCAAAGGTCACTGCAGCAAGAAATTCAAAAGGAAAAGATTAGTACCACTCAGAGGGACAAAGCAGGATCAGCATAGGAAGGCAGAAGGGATTGAGGAAGGAAAAGAAAATTGGAGTGACCTGGAGTACATCTAAAGAGAAAAGGAACTACTGAAATGCATCTTAACAGGAAATAAAAGATAACAGAGGCCAAAGGAAATGACTGGGCTTCAGGGGTGGAGGGGAAGGGGAAGGAAGTACAGTTTGTCTCAACAAGGGGAGGTTAGCAAACCTTTCACAAAAAGGTTACATATACACCCAACACAGCCAAATAATGCCAAATCCCAAAGGTTCAGCAACTACATCTAAAAAATTAGGTTTCTGACCACATATTAGTGAGAGATAGATGAAGGTTAACAGGAAAACAACATAAGTGAAAGGCTTTTAAAAACCTCTGAAAAGTTTCCACCTGAAAATGATTTTCTTAACAGTTAGACTTTTAGAATGAGTTTAGAGTGAGGTTACTTGGCAATCTGACAATAAAGTGAAAACAATTTCCAAACAAAATTAAGTGAGAGGAAGAAAACAGCATTCTGCATCTTCTGGAGTTATGAAGGCTTAAGGCAATAAACTGTACTTGGGCATTTACAGGTAACCCTCAACAATTGTGTTAACAGTAAGATGAAACTTTGAATAATACACTACAGTATGCAAAAGAGCAAATATTTCAATATAGAATATAGGTTCATTACTCACAGTTGCTCAACTTGTTCAAATTCTTTTTCATCTTCTGCAAAAAGGATTATAAGGTCTTAGTTTAACATACACATTAAATAATTCAATAAAAGAATGATTATGTGCATAGAATAAATGAATTATCAAACTAGGATTTTGTTTTGCTTATTTGTTTTTGTATTACATTTATCATTCAAAGTATTCTATTCTTCTATCCAGCTGGAAATACCTGAAAGTTAATTAAGAATTTGATTTTGATCAAGTTCTAAAAATCAGATTTTGTTCTTGTATATATTTTGTTTCACTTTTGTTCAATCCCTCATATGTAGGTTGACTCACATATGTGTGCCTTTGTTTCAGCAACAAAGATTAGTGCATTCTGTTTTAATGTCTACTTTTTCTTCCTCATGGTTAGAAATTCCTCCCATCAAGACAATTAACACTGGTTCCATTCTTAAGCATTTCCCAAACAGGTATAGCCTCCAAATGCCTTCTTTTCTTCTACAAACGGAATCGGTAAGGACCATATCAGGCCCTCTATAGGTAATTTATTTCATACCAAATGCACTTCATAGCTGAATTCAAGACTCCTGTAGCAGATTTAAAATCTTAAATAACACAATATTCTAGAAACAATTATTTTATAGGAGAAAAAAAGAGGTAACTATTGCACAGAACTTATATATGAGGTGGCATGGGCCATGTTTTACAGTTTTCAATTTAAAACTACAGTCGAAAGTAAGGCACTAAATTCAATATATTCCATTAAGAATAATTTAAAAGCCTACCTGCGGGCTTCTCCTTCTTTTTAGAGTACACCTCATAGAGGAAAACAAGAGCTACTAAAATAATAACTTCAGCCAGTATTGCTAGAAATGGTTTGAGTGGCACCATGAAGGTGAGAACTTTAAGCTTCAGCTTTCCTTTACTTTTTCCTAGTTGAAAAACAGCTTCACACCAGTATGCACCATCATCTTTCTTAGTAAGCTTCAATATCTTGAGATGGGTTGTGTTTGCAGGTACTCGATCAATTACATATTTGTCTGACAGCAAAGAATCATTAATGGCAATCTAAAAACAGAAAAATACATTAAAAAGTCTTACTAACGCAATGAGAAAGTGTTTAATCAAATTTATGTTATCAACATTTATAATTCTATACAGCATTATATCTAGAAAGACGTAAAATGAATTAGGAACAAGTGGCATTTGTGAAGCACGTCTAGTCTACCTCCAAGGGAAAGATTTATCTTAGCTACTCACCCTGTCTTCCCTTTATAATCAGTGGAGAAAAATGCACTTTTAGGGAGCAAATTATCTGACCTGCCTTAGTAATTTGGGATCAGATGAAAGGTACCCTTGACTGTATTGACTCTCCACTGACAAAGGCAGTCTTAGATGTCAGGATCTGATGTCCAGGTTTCACCACAGCACAAAGAATATGCTTTAAATGAAGCAGAGCTGGGAGTGGCCCTGCACCAGGAAATGAGTCAATATACTCTCAAGAGTGCATTCTCTTCTCTTCAGCAATATAGAAGAGACCTCATCTATTTACCGCCTCTCCACTGATAGTGCTTCTCCCAGTAGAGGACTAAAAGTAGCCATGCTGCCAAGGCTAAGGGGGATCCTGGAAGGTGAGCATGTGAGGAAGGGAAACTGCCAAGCTAGAGCTTTTCACAGTCTTCAAGGCAGGAACTGAGGAGATTTCACATCAGTTTCCACCATGAGATGACTTCCTTCAGGCCGAGTGCCTCAAAGAGGTCACATTGGCTGGGAAACACAAAGTTAGTTAGGAGAATGAGGAAGAGGAGGCATATGCTCATGTTCCCCCTTAAGCCTCCAAAACCTTACCTTCACCTTGTCCAAGAGGTGTTCTGCTATGAGATTGTTCGGTATCAATGAGTGAGATTCAAGAATTACAGCTGTCGTTAATGCAGTGAAAACAAGTACTTCAAGACTGATCTGATTTGTTTTATTCTTCTCTAGTTGTAATGTTCTTAGGGTAGGGAATTTAGAAAAGAAACAACCCTCCCCCCCTTTCCAAATACAAACCAGAACAGAAACACCACCTCTGTGATAAAAAGTACTTCTAGTTGACACAGATGACTTTTTTCCGTGTTCAGAGATTTGCATTAACACTAATGGAAATGCAATTTGTAGAACCTACAGCAAGAAGCCATTATACTTTACAAAGTGTTTGTAAAGTATACAAAAACAAAGTATATGGGTTTTGCCATACTATTTTGTTTGCCCAACAGATGGAAGACTTACCTGTTCGCTTCCATTGGTCAGGTACCAGGTCCAAGTGATGGGAGTATAATTGGAACTTTTACATATCATTACAACTGAATCTCCTTCATAACTGATAATGGGTTTTTCTTTGTCTTCAATTTTTGGTACTAAGAACAAACAGGAAAAAATTCAGCATGTAAGTGCTACAGGTTTTAACTACAATATTAAAAAAAGATAAAATATATTTAGATATGCATTTATAGCAGTGCAATCATTTATTTTCCTTGAATAACTCAGATAGTTATGTCATTTAGGACACATGATTTAATGAAGCATCATTTCAGGCTGATGTTCTGTATACATAACTTCTGCAGAAGGCTACAGGAATCCTGCGCTCAGTCGCCATACAACCTTAAAAGTTGACAAATAACCTTGAAAATTAAGTGAGAATCAGACTATGGTAGTTTTTCCCCTTGTCCTCCCCAACACCTGTGAACTACATGTTTCAACTCCATTGCACTTGAAATTAGCTTTTTTTTCCCTGTAATTTCACTCCATCTGCAAAAACTGACAAGCTTCTATTCTAGCTGTAATGTTATCAAATAACAGTATCAGCAAGTTGTATGTTAATAACTATGACAAATTGCAGAATGAGGGAGTTTTGTAGCTGCAAACTTTTTCTTAGTTGAAGCAATGACTTTTTGGTGTATGCCAGTAAAAAGTACTTTTGGTCCGATCTTGCGAAACGCAGACTTTGGCCACAAGAAATAACTTTAGAGCTACTTGTCCCAGCTATTGTAACTGCAGATGCACCACAGCCTTCCAAGAGCTGAAGCCCATACAATGCTGTTCAATATATTGAGGCATTCCATAAATGTAGTTAGTTGAGCAGATATCATGATAGAGGATCTATTTCCCCTTCCCCCACCTCTCCCTTCTTCTTTGAAGGCTTACTAGCATATGTTTTCCTCAGATCCATTTATTTTATAGTGTACCTCTTAAGCTTCATTGCTCTATCTTGTAAGTACAGATCTAGTGCACTTTTAAAACTTTATCAGTCACACAATACCAAAAAGTCCAAACATTTGCTTTCAGCAGAGTTATGGTGGAACAGATTGATATAAACTAAGATTGTTCGTGCTCCCTCCCCTCATTGACTGGTTGAGCACAAGTCTTATTCTCTTGAGAAGCTCACTTCTGAGTGTTTAAACTTACAAACACCCATTCCTGGAATATACATGATACCAATTTTTGTTAAGGACACTGCTTGCAATCTCAGAAGATATGGCTAAAGTAAATTCACGTCATATATTCATTACTTTTCTTGGAACTTGTCCAACTCTAGATCAACATCACAAGAGAGCTTAGTTGTCATTTATACTTTAGCACCATACAGCAATTCAGCTTTCCAGCCTCATTACCAGTGAGTTTTCTCTGTGTGTATTATGATTTAATCATTAAACATTTTATCCTTCTAAAAAGCCATGTCAGACCATCTTCACTGCTGTCAATACAAAGGACAAATTTTATTAATGAACTGCTGCCACTTCCTTTGCAACCTATAAGAGGCAAAAAAACAAAGGCAGGTTGAAAAATTAAAGATTAGAACAAATGAAAATGAATACAAAAACCCTTGTACTCAGCACTGCAGATTTCTACATTACTTAAAAAGATTGGCCATGCTGGTCAGAAGCAAAGCAGAGCTCTAGACACACCAGCAATTCATATGAACACATTAGCCATGATTAAGGACATGAATATATTTCATCAGGTCCTCTAGGACCTGGCTCTGTAACAGAGCAGTTAATCCCTGAATGTCTGCAAGGAAGTAACTCCTCTTCAACTCCCTAAGGTTTAACTCCTTAAAATCTTCAGGGCTGCGCTAGGCCAGGATTGTGGCAGTGAGAAACAAAAGAGGCAACACAATGCCTAGCTGATGACTGGCAGAAATACCTTTGCAACAGAATTTGTTAACAATAGCGATTATTTTAACCACTGTGTATAGTAAAGTGCTCTACCAACATGTTAGCCATCAGTTTGAGAATTATTCTCACTGCATTATTGACTGGAAAACTCAAAGCTTTCTCTTTCCTACTTCCTTCACACTTGCATTAATCTTGAAAAGTGTCAAGCCATTACTTTGTATGGCCTCAGATGTGGCTGGCTTCACAATGGTTGAGTGCATTCTCCCATCTTGTAGTAAGAAATCAACCAGTCCTATGCACTGTGTTCTAGAAAAGGTGACTTCCCTATCAATTAACTCTTGCCCTTACTAAAATAGTTATTTTATGCTTTCAGAAGAATAAGGCTTGCTTTGACTTTTGTAAACCTATTCAGACTTGCATAGCTATTCAGCTAAGTCTTACTCACATGTTGACAAGAAAAATATAATCATTTTTAGAGGTGAAAAGGTCTGAAAAAGTTAGTACAATTCTGTCTTTCCTTAGTATTACAAGCTAGTCTCCCCTGGCTGAAGGTTTGAAAGCAGATGTCAGCATTGCTATCCAAGACTTGACGATAGCAATGCTGACATCTGGAGATGCAAGTCTGAAATTACTGGAGGAGGAAGGTTGGGGGGTGGGCAGGAAAAACAAAACAGAAGAAAGATCCAGGTGCTCAGCTCTTCATTCATACTTACCAGTGAAGCACATTCTAACTGTATAAAGGGATGCTCTTACATGCAATATAAAGATGCCCTTGAGCAATAATATGTTGATTCAGAAATAACAGTTTGTTCACCAAAAATTTGCCTCTCTTCTGCCAGTCATCACTGATCACTGGTGATAACACCAAATCGTCTCAGTCCAAGTTTTCAGAAATTACATATCATTGGCTCTGCTTTTTCAATAACTGATCTGAGACTCCATTAAAGGGTTTTTATTGTTGGCATGCCTTCCCCCTCCATTCCCCCCTGCAAGTGATGACTATTCACTGCTGCTGGAGGGATGGAGAGGAAGGGAAATCAGTTATTCCTTCAGAAAAATGTAGGCTTACCTGCTCCTTTGATTGTTATCAAATTTTGTTTGAAATGCTTTTGAGTTTTTCTTTTGAAGTTTTTCCTCCCTGTCTCCATGTTATAGAAATTGTATTTGACAGATTCCCATTTAGCTCAACTACATTAGCCACTGCTTATCAAACTAACTTGGAATTTCCGTACTATCCAGAAACCCTATTAATGCAATATTTCAATGGTAAAGCGAAACAATAAAACGTAACACAACTTGCCTTGTAAATGGAACACAGCTTTGAGTTCTTCTTCTTCTTCTCCTTTAAGAGTACAACTGTAACTTCCCAGTTCATTTTCATCTGTGATTGTCAACCTAAAATAGAAAAGAGCAAAACAGTGAAACTTTGTTGCTTGTATTTCTTTGCTGTCTTATGTTAGTTAGCCGTCAGTAGTAGTTACAAAGAAGCTAGACGAGATTAGCAGTGGAGCACAGAACATTGCACTAAAGGTGAATCCTAGTGTTTCAGCAATGTAGAAACAGCAGGACATTTTTAAGAAAAAAGAAGAAAGAGTACATGGTTGCTAAGGAATGTGAACACCATTATCATCCTTATTGCTTATAGGTCCCCAGAGAAGACAAGATGTCTTTTAAGCAATATGACCCAACTGAACAAGTTATTGAATTAGATGTGGGTTTACCAGGTGAAATTTATAGCATGAGCTATGCAGGACATCAGAGCAGATAATTTAAATAGTTTGCTCTTTCTTAAAGCCTGTTAGTCAATGGGTTAATATTTTCTAACACAGAACAATTTTAAAGAGCTGTCATCTAATAGTTTGACAACCGAGAAAATGCTGGAGTCCACTTACTTCACAAGCACTTTGCTAAAAAATTTACATGGGTAGTAGTTGTGCATATGGAGCAGCAGAAAAGTGACAGAATGTCTCATGTTTTTCATCACAGAAATTTTATATGGACATAACTGAGGTTAAGAAACTGAAGACATACAGAAATCAACATGAGATTACCTGGTTAAAATTAGCCCATTTATTATAGATTTTCAGAATCCAATAGTAAATTGTATAAACTGAAGACGACTTTCTACAACATTTCTAGAGTCTCCATAGAGTGGGGAAACACAGGAAGAGTTAAGAAAAGCTTTACAACAATTTAAATAGTTATTTTCTGTAAAGCCAATTCTTTCTTCTCTTTTCATTTTGTTGGCTATGGAGAAAAAAAACTGACGGGCATCAGTGGTCAGTTTATCAGAATGCCTCTGTCAGGCAAGGCGCAGGTGAGGGGCTGGGGGAAGAATGGTAGAAATTGGGGGAGATAGTTAACAGCACAGTAGGCCAAGATTATTACTTCAACTACTGAACAAAATTACAAGCTGGAAGAACCAGGTCCTTATCCTATATTCCTGTCTGGAAGAATGCTTGTTTCTCCAGCACTGAAGAAAGTAGGAGCTTTTCCTCCATGCTCAGGGAGATGCAACCTTTTTTCTTTTTCTTCAGTTTCAGTATGTTGATTATGGCCATTAATATAATCAATGGAATTTGGTTTGTACTCTACCAATATATACAATGTAATTTGTTTTGGCTGTGTATTCACATGTGATATAATACATCACAACCTGCAAGTCAAACTGCCAAGAATGCTACTTACTGGATGCTCCAGCTATTTTCCGTTTTATTGATGTGCTTGATTGTTTCATTTCCCTTCTTCCAAGCTACTTGAAGAATTTTCAAATGAGGATATTTACCAGCCAGGCTGCATGAGAGCTCAACTTTAGCTGAGCTGTCCAAAGTGATATTTTTTTCCACAGAAGTACCAGAAACACCTAACAAGTGATTATGAAATAAACATCATATTTCTTCATTTTAGAGGAAGAAAAGTTTGAAAGATTGTGTTTGAGATGTGCTAGATTACACATAGGTATGATCTCTGATTCTTATACTTTCTGATTTTAGCAGAACTACAATGTTAGACCATCAGCCTTTCACAATAGGTTTATAAAACATGTCCAAGAGAAAAAAGGATACATATGCATTACCAAAACAAAGGTAGTCACTTTGTTCTATAGATGAACTTGCTAATGGGCTCACATATAGAAACACAGATATCCACTTCACTGAAAGCAAGAGAGGCCTATGCTTCTTTGTCACTTAACTCAAATCAAAATACTAAGTACTTTATTTTTTTCTGGTGAGAACTGTCTTCTCACTATGCTCACTGTCTAAACCTCCTTTTTGACTGCACTGCTATTAAAAAGCAAAATTTAGCACTAATGGAATGAGTAGATGTTATTGAATTAAATATATATTAGTAAACATATGAAATAAAAGATATATTAGTAATATCAAAAAGAGTTAGACTTGTAAATATCTTGTTTTCAGCCAGTTGCAAATTTTCCTTGAACTTATAGGTACTGCCTTCTTGCCAGTGAAGTACTCATCTTGAAATCGTAATCTTCAAACGCTTTTATTTATAAGGAGGCCTTTGCCTTCTTATTAGCACACAAATAGCATTACATATAGTAATGTGAAAAGATTCCCAAACAGTAGGAAAACTGACCCTTTTTCATCTTTTAACCAGGTTCTTGAGTATACAGTATGTGCATAAATGGACAGTAGGTTTCAACAGCAAACAGACATGCTCTCTGATCTATAAGAACTTTTTACGACTTTTGCCAAAAACAAAACAAAGCAAAAATAACCTACTTTGTACTCTCAGACACTGACATTTTGTTTCATAATTGGACTTTCCTTTTATGCCTTCTGGATATAACCGCGGTTAGTGCACCTGAATACTTGATGAGAAGTTATTCTGGGACCCACCTCAACCCCAGGCATATCCTTGATCAGTAAAAAATTGGGCTGTTTTTCACAGCTGAAATCCCTTCCAAGAGGGAAGGAAGTTTTAAAGTTCAGCTGGCTAGCTTACTAATGAAATTCAAGTCTAAAAAGCAGCAAGATGTAGTTGAAGTCAAAAAGCAAAAGCTACTGCTGTAAAATATTTTAAGCCCTATTTGGGTCTGACAGAGACATTTGAAGTTTATGGAACAGCACACCTTGAACTCCAAGTCCTAGCTGAAATATTACAGAATCCATTGAACTGGAGTTAAGCTTAGAGTCTTACTCAACACCTCAGTCTTTCACAGCAGAGCAAAACTAATTACAGCAACTTATTTATTAGATCCATTTACTAAACTCAGTAAGTGAGCCGAACAACTCAGTGTGGTTGTTTCTGATCAAAGTGATTTTGAAAATGGAATTAGCTTCACAATAGCGCAAGTTTTTACAGTCAGATTAAGAAGTGGCTAAAAACAGAACGGGTGGCATCTGTATAAGCAGAGAGCCATGTATCAAGAATACTCATAGCAGAACAAGAAGCTACCTCATTATTTCTGCCAGAAGAAAATAAAATATAAATGCTGTGCTATTATGTTCTTAAAATATTATTCCAAAACTTTGTAAAGGACTTCTAATTGATCTCTACAAATTTTACCTACTTACCAGTTAGATCAGCATTTTAGTTATCCAGGAAGTTGGTTATAACTTCATACTTGCCAGCTTATACAAAAGATTGCACACAATTGTAAGCTTTCAATTGAACTAGTAAATAAAGTAACATACTTACCAGATAGGAGTATCTCATACACCATATAAGTGAAATTAGTTGCTTTCTCTTCATTTGCCTGCTTGAAGTCTTCTGTGGTCAGATCTGGACCTAACAAGATTGCGGGGGAAGTGAAGTGATACGTTATGATCCTATAACGTAAGGGGCAATCATGCAGCAGAATGTCACTATGGAACTGTAATTTTTTTTTTTTTACTTTTTTTTTTGAAAGCAGGAATCTTCCCAACAAGGAGAACCTATGGAGATTATTTACATACACCTTATGCATTAAGGGTCAAAGTTTTAAAAGTAGCAGTGTTTTGCAGCCACTATTATAGTAATTACCCCATTTTAAGATAGCAGCTGCTGGCTTTTTAATAGAATAAAGCAATTGTGAATGACAAGAAGGTACTGTAAAATGGAATAGCTACCTATTTTACAGACCGATTTAAAGAGTCACCTATACACATGCTTTTCTTAAAGCCTACTGGTTGGTTTCTAGGACTGTATGGGACTAATATTTAAGTAAGACTCAGAAAATTAAATAAAAAGTAAAAAAAAACAAGGAGAAGAAATGGAAGGACAGACCATTGTTATTCTCAAAACCATTACAAGTTAACACAGCCGGAAAGATAGAGGTAAATTATCTACTCCAGAGGCAACTCCACTGAGTGGCCTGGACAAATAGGAATCTGGTCAGAGTTTCTCACCACTCCACAAACCTCCTTCTATACTGA